AGAAGGTGACACCTAGTCGACAAATCAAGTTGATAATTAGTTATTGTCCACTATATTTTAGTTTCACTGCCAGTATAGAACTGTTTTGGAGCAGAAAATCTTGAAATAACAATTGTGCGTCCTCCGGGATATAAACCTGAGTCTCCAAAATTGCACGCTACCAGGACAGCATGTGGAAGGAAAGACTAACTTCGTACAACATGTTTTCAAAAAGCAAGTGTCAAAACGCTTTATTTTTATCTCCAAGGCCACCATTTTATATTTCATCATTTTAAAACAAAATGGTAAATAAAAGTAAAAATGTTGTAAAATCATAATCTAAACGACTCTTTCGATATTTTGATATCAGCTTTACGCTTCTAGGGTAATTCAGATTTATTAACGCTAATAAGCAAAGCATTACTCACTATGCAACACACAGAGATTTTAAGTTGTACTCTCATTTAAAGACGGTCTAACATAGACACATTTGAAAAGAAATTTAATGAAACATTTTCGTATTTCTTTTAAAAACGACTCAGTTTAAGTCGTTAAAAATATCTGTAAAATCTAAGTCTCTTAGAATTTCTTTCGTAAGTAAGATATGCTTATATATCAAAATGTCAGTCATTATTATTTTTTTTTTTGTTAACCAATTTTAATATGGTTGATAAACATTCAATACTACTGAATATACGCCAAATGTAACTAACTTAGTGTATGTGCAATGCGTCTATCAAGTTTTAGGAATGAATTCGTAAAATGTAGAGATTTGTCAGCATTGGGACCCAACAGCGGCCGAGCGGCAAAATCGCTGAAGATTGATAGTTCCGACCTGGGTTCGATTCCAGACGAACAAACTGGCTGTAAGTGCGTTTTCGCGGTTTTTCCCATGTGTAGCGTGTATACGAGCCAGTTTTCCTTCGAAAATCCTTCAAGAAGCATCCCTCCCCTTAGGCAGCCCTAGTGTGCTCTGCCATAATCAACTAAAACTAAACCAAACCTATAGTATGTACAGTATCAACATATAGTATGCGCATCCTTGAGCCGTCCAGATAGTAAAGTAGTTAGGGGTGTCGACTACAATACCAAATGGCCCGGGTTCGAATCCCGGAGAGAGCACGGTTGTAACTGTCATGCATACTATATGTTGATTGTCATGCATACTATATGTCTCTTCGTAGGAGGTAACGGTGGCCGCCTATTTGGGTTGCCTCCACAATAAAATTGTCACCACTTCCGGCCTTAGGAGTTGCCAGTATCGAAAAAAGACAAAATAATGCCCACCGTTCGAAAAAAAAAAGGTACCTCCTTGAAGATGCTGTGTTTTTTTTTTGGCACGTTTATTGAGATTTTAGAGGGCTTTGTTTGGAATAATCTTTCTTCCTGTCGTTATGATTTTCTGAATCTCTCAAAATGGTACCTTTTGAGTTCAAACTAACTTCAGGAAAAGAAAAGTAGTTCGCAGGGATTTTTGATAGGCTATGTGAAAGGGATGTTTCAGTACACTTTTCTTTGCAATAAGTTGCTTGACAAAAGTTGCACGTGCAGTAAAAACAATCTTGCTTTTCTTTTTTTAGGGTTTTGAACCTATAACGGCAGGCAACGGCACCACAGTCAAGTAAAAAATTCCATTCAAATTTACTTCGGTAAAAGGACAATATTTTAATAAAAACAAATTGGGATGTGTTATTAATCATTATAGCTAATGACCTCAAAGACATTCAACGAAAAAAATCAGTCCTAACAATTTTTAGACGCATTTTGTAAATGTCGCTTAGTATAAATAGGTAACGAAAAAGTTTTAAAATTCTAATAATATTTTACGCACTATAAACCCAATAAAGTCCATCGTGTGGGAAGTAAAATATGAAATAGTTTTTAAATTTGTATTTTCTCAAATGCAACGTAATCAGGTTAGAAAACAATGGCGTGATACGTGCGACATATTTGGAAGACGGCCACAGAATGCGAGAAAAGCCAAGATGCGTGTGGCTATGTAGAGTCTACTTAATTATTTACACTGTTCTTTAACACCGTGCTTATTTGTTAGCTCATTATCCCCAAAAGGCCTAAAAGCGTTTTTATCTGCCCCACTAAACGAATTTGGAAGTTTCGCAATTATCAGCGTCATTTAGAAAAGCAGGTTATAAAACCTCTTAGCGCAAAACTGTTAAATTTAGATTAAAGACCTTTTTTTTCACTGCATTAATTGGTCCTGAAGAACAGAAGTTTAGGAGAGTTTAGTTTTACTTTATTTTATTTTTTAAAATTAACTCTTAAAGACAGAGACGTATTTTGTACACTTATTTAAGAGTATCAGATCAAATTTAATGCATACGAGAAATTTGAAATTATTTTAGTATGCAAGCATTTATGGAAGAGTGCACTAATTTTAATACCAATCATTCACAAAATTTTATCTTCATTTAACGTTTTCAATGCATTTTGAAAGACAAACTAAATTATCACCTGGAGCGGATTGTCATGCTCAATCGACTAATGCAACGATATTTTTAGCCTAAGGGACCAAGAAGGGCTATTAATTTCGTTTTGGCATTTTGCGTTGGTTTACTATAAATGACGGTTCACTTCTCAAATTGTTGCCACCAAATATTAGAGTCCCACATTATATTTAAAGAAATTAAATAATGAAGAATCTGCATTAATGTATGTATGTTTCTCGCGTTGCGAAAAAACAACGGTACCTAGAGACATCAAATTTTCAATAAGTTGCCCTCCACTAGAATATGGAGATATGGAAGCCTGAACTTGGAATTTGTTTTATTATCTATTTCATGTTTTGTAAAACTTCAACGGATTTTCGATTAAGAAACTCAACGATTTCAAAGCGAGCAATGATAACACTGTACGGGAAAAAATATTATCTCCAGCGCGCTAGACTGTATATCGGAAATTCTATAGATATGCTCATTTAAAATTTATTCTGAGATATTGCTGTTGAATTGAATTTTATGGTTTAAGTACGAAGAACATGATATTTAATAAATAAAGATAACACATAAAAAGTTAAGAAAACGCCCCTTTCGGCGTAATATAAAATCTGAAAGCTTTCAGATTTTTTAAAATTATTATAACTTTCTTTGTTACTGTTATAAATAATTTTATTCCAAATTCTTTTAATAGAAGCAACAAATTTACATCATTATTAAATGATGGTAAGGTTCTGTCTAATCTTATTTCTTGGTGACTAACAAGATTTCAAATTCAACTTCCGGACCCTTGAAGAATTTTAATTCTTTCCAATTACATAATATTTGCATTACATGTTTGAGACTGTATATTTTGTGCAAATGAAATGTTTTCATTATATTATACTAATTAACATAAATTTAAATCCAGATAAGGTTAATTCTTTCCGGTTCTTGAGACATATTGCCAAGATTTAAAGGCATTTTCCCAAAATGCGTTGTAGAGATGCATCGGTAATTCTAAAGCCCCGAACACAATTACAAGGAAAAAAGAGTACGACTCATTTTTCTATTGTATCTCACTCGCAAACTTCTCTTATCTCCAGTAGTGGAGATTGAATTAAAATGGTCGGCAACAAATTCATCGTCCTTTTGAATTGGTCGTTTGGTGGTTGTCGGGCCTTTTCCAAAAACCTTACGGAAGGAAATAAAGGTATCATCAGTGTCATGCACATACTCCGTAAGGGGATGCTACCGACCAAGCTTAGCGGAAGAACAGTTAAGCCAACGACTTATAGCTTAAAGGAGAGAGGAGCAAAAGCTGGCAACGAGAAGAAGGTGCTTGATGCGAGAAGAACGGCATGCTCGTGTGAAAAAACAGTTATCTGAAAGGGAGGAAAAATACTGGCAAGGGAAGAAGAAACGTGCTTGATGCGAGAAAGACGGCATGCTCGTGAGAAAAAATTTGAAAATTAGTTGGCTGTATTCCGAGAGTAAGTTGGTCTTTGTTTTTGTAAGACGGAGAGATGCAATATACTTGGGCGTTTGATGTAAATGTGAATAAAAGCAATACTTTTGTGAAAAGTTAATGTGTATTATAAATTAAAATATAGCTTATGTTATTATTAAACCTGCATAAGTGTCCCAGTTATTTCCTGCAAATAGAGTTTGACTAATAACATTCATAAGTGGATGAAAAACGAACCGACAAAGATGAAGTGATCAAAAGATCGATGTATGACAATCAGTATCAATCAGTATTTAATTGGAATTTTTTATTCAATGGAGATTATATAAAAAGTTAAATTTCATGCTTTACAAAACGTTTGCCATCCATTGTATTAAAACTCTAAAACCTTCTTTAATTTAAGAGACTTTGAAATTGGAAGTGCATGTCTTGGATCAACACTTGAAGAAACAGAATTCTGTATAAACTTTCGAATAGCTTGTAAAGTTTTGTAAAATCTGCTCTAGTTTGACAAATGAAAGAATTTTTTTATTGACTGCGTGAAATAAAAATTTATGAGAAAAAGAACATCTAGCATTGTAAAAAAACTTCAGAATGGATAAAATTATCGTAGTCACTGACTGAAATAAAATTTTATGAGAAAAAAAACATCTAGCATTGTAAATAAACTTCAGAATTGATAAAATTATCGTGATCGAATGATTTTAGTATTTTTTAAAAACTGCTGACGGAAAAGTGTATTTTCCATACCGAAATAGGGCCTTTTCCATAAATTTAGCGTATTAGTTTACTTGTTATATGAATTTCTTATATGTGGCAGTTCTGAAAAGGGCACAAAAGCGCACCGATAGATACAAATCTTAAATTTCGGCTTCTTATGTATTTAAAAAAATATTTTTACAATGTTTACTATAATTTAATTTCGCGTTCTTTCGCTGCTTTTCCCTTCAGGAAGTGTATCAATTGCTGCGATTAGGCTTTGCAAGACATACTATAAAGTGAGTTTTCCATATCAAAATCGTTATCATAATCAAAATGATGCATTTTATATGATCCTAGCAGTATATGAATATATTTTATTTGCTGTGTCTTTGCAATTTCGACAATGGAAGAATACTCACAATTAAGAAGTTTCTCATCTTGAGGTACTTCAGGAAACCTTTGGCGGAATCGTCTGTCCTGCAGACGGAGGAACCTCGACCGATGGAGGGAATTATTGGAGGATGACGTAAGAGACACACTGGGCATACTCACACATCGTTTTTCTTGAAGGCATCTGAAAAATGCATAAAATTATCTATATACGCATCCATAATATGTGATGAAGTTTTACATGTAAAATAATATTCTGTACTGATTACTATAAGTGAAAATATTGAAACACCGGGTTTGGAGGATATATGTCTCACAATATAACTACTACTATTTAAGTCTGAATGATGGATTAGGTAGAATGATATTAAAGCAGAGAACGGAAATACAGAAATTTGAGTCTTGTAACTGAGAATTTGCGTCGAATCACTAAAAGCGTTCAATAACTTTTCAAATTGTTGCCACCAAATATTATCGCCTTGTATTATATTTAAAGAGATTAAATAATGAAGAGACTGCATGAATGTGTGTATGTTTCTTGAATTGTAAAAAAACAACGGTACATAGAGCCATCAAATTTTGAATAATATAGTTCTCCACTCCAATGTGGGAACCTGCAAGCACGAATTTTGAATTGGTTTTATTATCTATTTCATATTTTGTGAAACCTTTACAAATTTTTGATTAACAAACTCAAAGACTTGAAAGCGAGCAGGGGCAATACTTTACGGATTAAAATACTTTTGTCTCCAGCTCACAAGACAACCTGCCGGAAATTCTAAAGATATGCTGTTTTGAATTATTTTGTGATTTTGCTTGAAATGAATTAAAAATTAAGTGGTGTAAGTGCGAAGAACGTGATATCTAATAAATAAAGTTAATACACAAAACATTAATAACACAAAGACACACAAAAAATTTTTTTAAGCCATCTTATTGAAAAAACTGAACAATATGATGAACTGAAAAAAGATTGAAAAAAATAGAAAAACATGTGCCAACATTTAACATTGTATCGGGAATTTCAAACATATGCTGTTATGCTGCTTTTAAAATTTTTGTAATTTTGCTGTGGAATTCTGTATAGTATAAATGCGAAGAAAATGGTGCTTAATAATATAGCTAGCAGGAGTGAGTGCAATAGCAGACTGGTATACTGCGAGCTCAGCGAGAGCATAAAAAATCTCAACAAAACCTTTTGCGCGATCGTTAAAATCTGAACTCTTTCCGTTTTTTTATTTGCATTTAAATTTTTAAATGATTCTAATTCAGAAAATACATATATTTTAGTTAAATGTACACAAGAATTTGTAGTAAAACATTTAACAATAGGCATATAATAATGCTTTTAACAAAAGACATAAAACGTTTCATATTAATTACAATAATGGCATAGACGTAAATAAATTTTTTTACAAAATATTGCTTAACGTGTAGAATCTGTTTAAACCAGTGGTTCTCAACCTTTTGACTAATGCGTACCATCTAAACAAAATTGAAAACCTTTAGTACCTCCACTACAAAGTACTACTACCATCACCACTCTTGAACAAAGCTCACATCGCATAAATTTACGAGTGTTAGAGAAAAAGATCAATCAGGATATTAGGGTTTTAATTTTTGAATTTAATAGCTAAAAACACTTTGCTTCTTTGGGTACTACCTGTTTTTCTCTTACGTACCACTGGTTGAGAACCCCTGGTTTAAATGATATAGATTCACTTTGTTACAAGCTACAGCTTTTTAAAATGGAAAATAATAAGAGAATGAAATAGCAACAGCTTCGCTTTCAGGGTTTATATGCGATGTGAGCGAAAAGGAAAATGTAATTCTGAATAATAACAAGTTTTGTATAGTAATCATTACTACATAAATCGCATTACGTAAAATAAGAGTCCGTAAAGAAAATTTTCCTTGTATGTAGTACTCATGTCAACAAACATTAGAATATTGACGGTTCAGAAATGAATTTGAAATATTGGTAATTGCACTTAAATGCAGTTCTACGTGAGTAAAACCATTGCATGACAACATTTCCAGTTTCCTTATTATGTCGTGCTTTCAAAGACCTGTCTCACCCTTCCACCGCGCAGTTCCACCATTTTACACAACAAATTCATGCCGGCTGTTTTTTTCTTCCCCCCCCCCCGCCATCGGGTAAAAGCAGGATCTTGCCAGGTAGCTTCCGAGATTGATTCGAACGCGAGTGGAAATAAGAGAATATTGAGTTGCCAGGGAGTTCATTACGAAGGGGTCAACGAACCCACCGGCGGCGGACTCTTGATGAAGAGAGCATTTTTGTTAAACCGTGCATCCCGAATGATGAGGCGAGAAGACTGGAGCTTTCGTTAAAGAATCATTTAAGGAAGCTGGACGTGTAGGCGTTGGCCTTTCCAAACGAGACTTTGATGACGATGAGTAGTTTTTTTTTACCCTTTCTGTCACTTTACATGTTACATTCTCCTTTGACGCTGATACTTTTTTCTGTGCTTCTTACAAGATGAATCGTGAAAAGAAGACAAAACGATTAAAGTGCTGACGTATATTTTCACTTTGTTCACATCTAGAAAGATAAATAAATAAACGTACGTTTCAGTGTGTTTCACAACGGGTGGAGGAAAAGGTCGGCCTAATGTATAAAAACTTGATAAGTTTAATGAATTTCATAATGCAATTTAAATGTATTATTTACATCATTTAATGTATCCCATCAAATAATGTAAATACCGTATCATGCGACGAAACTACGGTTTCTTCAAATGTAAAAGTTAAGAAAGAAGGATAAATTTATCTTTAAAACGTAAGCTGTGTATATAACATGAGCCTGATTTTCAGATGGAATAAAATTCCTCTTATATTCGAGCAACACCTTAAGTACTGTAGATCACTTGATAATAATTATAATATTTGTAATGCAGATGATATTATTACTTTAACTGATTTCCAGTTTCAATTATTACACAAAACTAATAAGTATTTTCTCTACAGAGATTTACTTTCAAAAATTAAATATATATCTTAATTATGTATTATATTTTAATAGGGATAGTTAGACTTTTACGAACCAAGAAATATGAAAAATCAGCTGGGTTTGCATTGGGATTCGAACCACAGATCTGCCTACATCACAGCAGCACGTCCAGGAAGTGCGATAACTCTTCAGTTAAACTAATTTGAACTAGTGTGAACTTCTCAATCATATATAGCAGCAAAGGTGCTAAACGGTGTTATGGGGGATTAGAATACCTAACAGCTCTTACAAATCATAAAACAGTTTTAACAATACATGAAAAAAATTCTCTTATTTTTATGAATAAGGTACAAATACTTCATACAAAATGCAACGTTTACTTTCTTAGCATAAATTTTATTATGCTACGAAGGTATTAAAATCTAATATTTATATTATTTCTCAAGAAATGGTATCAGGCATTTTCGGGATATTTCAATATAATGAATATAGATACACAACAGAAAAACGTCTGCAGTTTCTGAACTGAAGAATACACCATACATCATATCCAAGGCTTCCCATCAAAAACTAATCAAATGAGGTGGCTAAATTTAGGTTCTCATACTCAGTGTAAAACTGAATGAATGCTTTTAACTATACTATATATTTCCAATGAATTAGGATAAAGCAATACAAAGACACTTATGACATTGCTTCTAATGGACTTTTTTAACCTTTCTTCAATAACTTAGTAAAAATAATATAAATATTTGAGATTCCTGAGCAGAAAATTTCTAAAATTTTCTATAATTAAGGAAAAGGCTTTAAATTTTTCTGTAATACAGGGAGTCATAAGATAGATGCTATTTACCGGTCAAGTGGTATCCGTCGAAATCATCGTGGCAGAAACATCGTGGACGAAAACGTTGTCGAAGAAAACATCGTGGAAGAAAAGAAAGCAATGAGAAAACATCGCAGGTCTAAAACATCGTCGTTGAAAATAAAACGGTTCAAAAATTTACTGTTTAAAAACATGGTCGTCGAAATATCAATAAAGTACCTACAATTCATCGCATGAAGATAACATCACAGTCATGCATTTTTCAGGCTTTTAAAGTTGTAACTGCATATTCGCATAATGATTTGTGAGGGCAAGAAGGAATGAGTATTATTTTTCAATTCGAATCTTCTCAATGACTGATGAAAAAGCGAACTACAGGGGTTGGACAAAAATATGGAAACACCTTTAAAAAAGCATGTTTCTTTGCTTAATATGGTGTAGGAAACCCGTTGGCATCCAAAACAGCTTGCAGTCTTCTCGGAATAGATAAATACAGTTCCTGTATGTTTGCCAAGGGAATATTATACCATTCTTCCTGCAAAACGGTGGCAAGTTCAGATAACGATGTTGGCGGTGGATAACGAGAATGCACTTTCCGTTCCAATGTAGACCACAAAGGTTCAATAATATTCAGGTCTGGTGACTGTGGTGGCCAGGGGTCATCCTCGTGCTCAGAAAACCAGTCCTGGACAATGTGAGCTGTGTGAACAGGGGCTTTGTCGTCTTGGAAGACACCATCACCATCGGGAAACAAAGTTTGTACCATGGGATGAACTTGATCGGCCAAAATGTTCACATAAGTCTTGGCAGTCATGTGCCCTGACACAGTTATCACGGGGCTAGCAGAGAACCACGATATGGCTGCCCAAACCATAACAGAACCCCCGCCATGTTTCACTCTTGGCAACAAGCAGTCTGTATTATAGGCTTGAGATGGCGTTCTCCAGACGTAAACTCGGCCAGAAGTGGGAAACAATGTGAAAGAAGACTCGTCAGCCCATATTACTCGCTTCCACTGCTCTATAGTCCAGGCTTTATGACTTAAACACCACCTTTTCCTATTACGGGCATTAGCATCACTGATGAGTGGCTTCTCAATTGCAGCACGGCCAGCGATTCCCTGTTTATGAAGCTCCCTTCTAATTGTTTTGGTACTCACAGGGTTCGGTAACACAACATTCATTTTAGCAGTAACTTTTGCAGCTGTGGTCTTCTTATTTCTCGTCACAATTGCCCTTAATGATCGTCTCTCACGATCACTCAGGACACACTTTCGTCCCGCGCTGTGATTTAGCAGATTATGTTTTTCCGCTTTTCAAATATGCGGAATAAATCTTCGATACAGTACTCTTGAAACACTAAACACCTCGGATACCTTGCTTACGGAAGC